GATTTCCACGTTTAAGATTCAATTTTAAAAACATGTCATCTTAACTGTACAAGTCTTTATTCAAGATCCTTTCCTAACCATGTGGAAGTAACATTTGCTTAAAATACTGCAGAAGGTGAAAGCAACTCTAACTGAAAACTCTTAGGACCTGATTTTCTGATTTTTAACGCTAAAGTGGAATCACATGAAGGTGCAAAAAGACATGTATAAAAAAATAAATAAAAAAAAAACAAACATGTAGACATTACAAAACTTTATCACAATAGAAGTTAACCTGAGTGCTTATGAGATGCTTTCGGGATTCAAAGTGATTCCGGATGTCAGCCTGACAAAACCAATCCTGACAGGCGAAGCACAGATAAAATGGATCATCTTTAGAAACCGAGGTGAGGCACGTCGTAACTAGAGATGTTCCTGCAGCACAAAAATAAATACATTTTAAAAAGGTAAATATTTTCTAAGCATCACATATAACGTATAAACGTGCATGTGACCTTACCGACAGGTGGCATATTTCTCTTTAAAGACTCGTTGATGTACGTGTACAGGCTTATGTAGAACCTTCCTATCAGGAGGGGAAAAGAAAAACATTAGCAGATGTCTGAAGTCACAGCTTTTAAAACTCAATCTTTGGGTTTAATTAAGAACGCCATTCCATCTTTACAGTATTTTCACCATTTCCAAGTCCCCAGTGTCCTGCATGCTTCACATGTTTTCTCATTTCCTAACGGCCTCTTCCGAACCTGATCGAAGGCTTTCGAAGTAATTCAGCCATAATAAATATGGAGGACGGTGGATCAGAATTAGACAAGTGATCCAGAGAACTGCATAGTCTTTACAACATTGAGCTTCATGCTCAGACCCCAAAACTGCTCTCATTAAACGTCATTTATGTGAGCTACCAAACAAGATTAAGAGAAAAATCAGATTTTTATTATTGAATATCAGATGCATATTGTTAAAGCTTTGATTATCGAGACTGTAAATGTACCTCGGTCATAAAAATGTCCTGTGAAATCTGTGGAAACAACATCGGTTAATAAAACATTAATTAAACACAAAACACATATTTCATATTTGACAAAATTGAGCTTTTTACCTTGAGAAATTCCCTGCATCACCTGTGGAAGATTCCAGTTTTTAGGGCAATCAACAATAACAACTCCTGTTTGTTAAGAATTTTGGGGTGAGATAAAATTACTTACCCTTATGTGTTCTTTGCTTGTTAAATGCTCCAAGTACTTGAACATTGTGGAGAAACTTTTACAGCAGTTCTTTTTTTTTATAGAAAAAGATGCAGAAGAACAGGAAATGGGGATGGAAATGTCAGCGTTTGTTTCAAACTGTGATTTGACTACATTTAAAGTTATGCATGTATCACAATTTATCACCTGGCAGTGCACCATGCATTTGACATCCTTAGTTGAAGGAGCAGAGACTGAATGATCTAAAAAAGGGAAAATATATTCAAATTTACAACTTTTAAAACAAGAAACTTTGAAAACAACTTGCTGAAATTAACTCATAGTTCACAATTTCACACATTCACTACACAGATGCTGAGGTTACACATACCAATCTTGTCGCCTGGTTTAATGCTTACAGTTAAGCATCTCTTTGTGACAGATTCCAGGCTCTTCAAAGCTAAAAGACAAAATATAATAATAATTAAAAAAAACATGTTTCACTGCTCAACTAAGCTTAATGTTAAAGTAAGGCTGCAAGCAGTCATGACAGGGTTCCAAGCTCTACTTGCAAACTGAGTCCTGACCAAGTCCGCCTCTGTACCCCACTGTCCTGGCATATCTCCACTTTCAAGGTTTATTTAATTTAAACTGCATTTAATGGCGATCAAAACTGTGTAAAACCTTACAAACTCAACTGCTGGAAATTGTCTAAATGTTACAGATTTGCTTATTCAGCTCTTTAGCCAATTCAACTTTGTTCACATGTGGCTAAACCAGACAACTTTATTCTAATATTAATCTCAGTATGAAATATGCACATAAACAACAAATTCTGGGCTAAAAAACTGGTAGATAAAAAGGGATTTAAAATTTTTTATGTAAAAACAAAAATCCAGAATTCTCCAAGGATTTTCAAAATATGATTTATGGTTTAAAAATGGTACACAAAAGGCATCGAGGCCCTATTTTTTTTGTTTCATCTTAATAGCGGTCTGCACGTCCCTTTGCCTCTATGGGCTTTGACCCCTGAATAAAGTAAATTTGGTGAACCAAAGATTTAAAATCGAATACCGACCTTCTGAATAGGAATCAAAATTCACCGACTTGAAGACATCGGGCTGCAGCTTCACTTGCTGGGAAGAATAAATTTTTACGTCACTTTCGATGCATTCATGCTTTATTAATAATATTATTATTTTTTTTACATCACCAACCTGCACAGAAACATTTTCAGCAGCATGAATTTTCTCAGCTTGCTTTGCACAATCAAGCAGGAAACTATTCCTGTCCAACTCGTTTGAAGTCAGTGTTGAGGGATGCCATTCTTCCTGTGCAGGAAGAACAGATTTGTGAGTAGTTTCCCTTTTCCAGGTTATAAACTGATTTTGTTATGTCATTTGAATAAAATTATGTAATTAGTTGGTGTGATCCCACACCTTCCCAAAGACAATCATGTGGAAATCGTTTTGCCCACTTCAGGCGATGCTAATAAAATTGAACTCAGTCACTTTTCCACATTGAGAAAAGTTGGTTTAAATGGTTTTATTTCCCTAAAGAGATCAATTTATTTGGAAACATGTTGTATTTACTCAGATTATTTCTTGATTATAAAATGTATTTTCTTTTCTGAAGCATTTAAGTGTCACAAAATGCCAAAAGCAAAAAGAAATCTCGACTTACAAAATACAAGTGTACGTGGTCAGAGCTCAGTAAATGTCCGATGATCGTGTGGCTGGGAATCACAAGCTGGCACAGTGTGCAGAGGTAGTACTTCTGTTCTGGTTCAGAAGAAACGCATTCAACAATGTGCTGCAGTCCTGCACAATAAAGGAAAAAAAAAATTGCAGCTTCACTGAAGGCTAACAAAGCATTTTAATTTCAAAAACCAGCTTGAAAACTATAGAAAGTTTATTTGTAACCGTCAACCCATAACTTAACATTTGAAAAGGCATGTTAAAGTTTTTTTTTTTTTGTTTTTTTTTTTTTACAAACCAAGAAGCGGATGCTGTCTGTTGTGGTTGCTGTGGTAACCTTGAAGAGTCACCTTGTTTTGGTGCATAGCTGGAAGGAAGGGAAAACAAAATTAACAAACATGACTAACCAAAGTCTCTCAACATCTTCCAGAGCCAAAGGTCTGTTAACGGCTACATCGTCTTGTTTCTTTTGCATGAACTCGTACTCGTCCTATTAAACTGATTCACTGATTCACCTTCAAAATATCCGTCTAGCTGGCTGAGTAAGATTTGCTGTTGCAAACATGTAAATTGTTTGGCTCTAAGGCTGGAACATTCACGTCTTGGAGAGCAACACACCCATTGAAGAGAAACAAAATGATGCAACAACAGTACCTCACCAGTTCATAGTCGTTCCTCTCTCTTAAATAATGAAAGCAGGATGTAATTTAATGATTTCATTTATAAAACCTGTACATTTATTCTGTGCTTCAAACAGTATTTTATGGATGGCTGCACTGATGACAAGTTGAGCTTTTGTTGTAGAGGAATAAAATTATGCTAATAGTTGACAATTACGTTGTTTGGCCGTTTTGCACCAAGGTATGTTTTTGTCAAAAGGAAAAGCACTGTGTCAAATGTACTGGGTCATTCTGACCTAGAAGTCAGGAAGGAATTCAGATTTGGGGACATGTGGAATAACAAAAAAAAAATCACTGAACTGTTGTAATCATCCATCCAGCCAAATGTTGAAAGCTCCTAGCTGTGGACAATTCCAGGAAGAAACTGGACTGGTTGAGAATGCTACATACACACACGCAGAGGAGTGCAAATACGCCCTGCTCCCAGTGAAAATATTGAGAAAGTGATTTGTGTAATGCAGGAGCGCCCAGAACCCTCCAACGTTGGCCCAAACAAAGCAGACATAAACGGGGTCCGGTGTGATGATTTGTTTTTCTTATTAGCTACCTTTCACTCCCCAATAAAATGGTGTCCCAAAGTGGAACCCGAATCCACGACCCTGAGATTGAGAGTCTCGTGCTCTACCGACTGAGCTAGCCGGGTTAGTTGATATGTTTCCTTCATGCTGAGATGCCAAACAATGCTTTAAAGAAAAAAAAAAAAGCATGAATCTCCCAATATGGCTGTATGGTAGATTAAACGCTGGACATCAATTCCCAGCCTCATGTTTTTTGTTGATTCAAAATAATTTATAGCGTCAAAGCTGTCAGGTAAAGATGGCTATATACAGAGAGCCATTTTCAAATAAAAATTTGCTAAGGAACCAGCCTGGTCCTGTGTGAAAAAAGTAATCATCCCTTACTAATTTAACAATCAACTGATTAATTACATTTCTACAAAGGCTGTGTTCAAGACTAATTGGTTCAAAACTACAAAATGGAGATTCTGAAGTGGTAAAGTGCAGACTTAAATCTGAGAGATGTTGTTCCATGACCTTAAACAGGCTGTTCATGCTTGAAAACCCTCCAGAGTGGGTGAAAAAAAATAAAAATCTGCATAGGAGGAAATAACCGCAGTATATTTCCGCCTTACTGCCTTGCAGCGGAAAAGTACAAACTTTTATTTAACAAGCAACATGCAGGTGTTTGCGTCATGCCGCGACACCAACCTTGACATCTGGTGATCATCAGCCAACCTATTTTGTGTCCTATAGAGTAAGAGTGTGAACTCAAGTAGGTTGGAGCAGATTTGCATTCTGCAAGACTCTGTACTTCTGTTTTCTTTAACTCAACTATATTTATTTTTTTCAGATTATTGTTTAAAGCTTGTTAAGCCACGATAGCACCACAAACCATACCCTCATATCCAGTATTTTTAAATCTGGTGGTGTGCTGTTTACACCAAGGCTTTGAAGCACAATGTTTAAGATTAATGTTTAACCACAGTAAAAGCACTTCGGTGCTCCTGCTTCTGTCATTAGTAAATAAAAAGCCAGAGCTTCATTTAAACTACAAAAAGAAAAGGTTATAGGTGTTAAATGTGGGGCAGTCTTAGTTTATGAAGCTCTGAATGATCATTTAGAAAAATGGATACTCACCTTCAAACCTCTCAAGAAGTTTGCCATTTTCACATAAGGTTTGCATCACTGGGAATAATCACAAGATTACAGTCATTATTCCACTTAAAAAAAAAAAAATTAAAAACATGAACAAATCATAAAATAATACCTTCTGAGTAGGTTGATAACATGAGCTTCTTAATGAGCGGTGGGGGTAAATGCAATAACTATACAAAGAGATAAAAAAAATTATAAGATTATTGATGCCAAAAAGCAATCTACAAATTGCAAACAAATATCTGTTTTGGGTTCACTTGGTTAAAAGTAACAAAACATTTAAATATGACCAAGAAGCTTTGAGAAATGGAGGAAAACATAATTAACAGCAATAAAGGTTTGAAAACATCCATCTGCAGTTCCTTTATACAATTATCTTCACTTTGTGAACTAAGTTATTGGAATAGATTAATTTTTCATTATCACTGCCATTTATTGAGAACCACCTGTAGTTAATTTTTGGTTTGTTTTTTTATATTAGCTTTGCTGCTCCGCTTTTCTTTTTGTCTCGGTGTCATTTAGCTCGTCACACCAACTGGTCCTTTTCTGTACGAGTTAAACTGTGTCCATGATATAACTTTATTATAAATCATTTGATTTGTTTCTACTGCTTCTTTGACCATTGTTAAGAAGTAGACGAAAAGGCATCCCGTGAACATACTTCAAATGACAACATCTAGAAAAAAGTGCTACAGAAAAGTAACATGCGATGAACCACCAAGGCAGAAAGAGATGCATTTCTTTAAAGATTGTAACCATCTTCACCTCCACAATGGATTTAATGTTGATGAAAAACAGTAAGTATTTGACAGTACCATTTATCATTTTGACAATTTACAACATCACAATACCAACCCGCAAGGTTTGAAGCTCAGATTTTCTGCTTTCCCTTTTGAGCTTCCACCCCAGAACGGTCGCCATGTCCAAGTCGGGTTTCCAGGAGAAACTCAAATAATCTGGGTTTGCATATACCTTGAAATATATATATATGGTTAACACCTCACTCTAGATTTTCATTTAAATAGTCATTTAAAGATGTCTGATACTTACAAAGTAGTGAAAGCAATGGCTTTGTGAAAATGTGTGGCATAAAATTGTGTCCATGGTGTATGTATCTTTACAAACATGGCAGAGGTAAAAACTTAAATCAGGCTTTTGACTGAAACACAGAGTCATCAGAGACAGGCCTGAAAGAAAATAGAAACACAGCAATTACCCCCAACTGAAATAAAACCTCCTAGTAAACCAAAAATACACGAAACAGTCTGCAGTCTGCAACCAGACAAGGTGTGAAGTCAGGAACTAGGAGGTCGTGACCTATGCACAACCAAATGTCTGCACTCGGCATCAATAAACACTCACTAGGAATTTTATGAGTAAGAACAAGAAGAAGAATAAAAATCCACAAAAGGAGCAGCTACTGGTGTCAAGAAACAATTCTAGGACAAATTATTGTTCCCGCCTTATCATGTTATTCTGTTTTCACTTTTTATTACAGACCTAAGCCCTTTAGATCAAACTCCTTTTCATATCAGATAAAAACCCAAAGTAAATAAAATACGTAGTTTTCGGATTATGTTTTTTAATATTTTAAGAGGGGGGAGGGGGGGAACCTTGGCCCTATGAGAAAAGTTTTTCTCTCTTACCTTGATTACAAATAAGTCAAACTCAGTGCCTCAGAATTATTTTGGTGACAAAATCAGACTCTCGTGAAGTGGTAAAGAAAAGAGCACCAACCACTATGAAGCTAATCTAGCTCTAAGACTCCAACTGATACGTTTATTAAACAGCTAACTTCAGGTTGGCTAATCCAGCAAACATTTTATCCAGCTAATGTCTAAATATATTCAGTTATCATAGCTGACTTGTATCTATGTTTCAAAATTCAAAATATAATATAGATAGCACTCTTATAGCCATTACACTTTGTAGCAGCAAAAAATATGTAAATATGTACTGCAGAAAATGGAGAAACTGCAGCATACTCACCAACAGCAGATCTCTGAAACTCAAAGCTTTTGCACTTTGGAGCCACAAATACAATGTAGGGTATCCGGTCTTAAAAAGAAACATTACAGATTAATTTCTATGGACAAAACATAAAATGTTATTTTAAAATTAACAGTAAGAATGTTATAATATACTCTTAATTTTTAACAAAATTTGTATTTTTAAAATTAAAAAGCAAAAAAAAAAAAAACCAAACAAAAAACACATCAGATGTGGTCAAAACTATAAAACACACGCAAAAAAAAAATACTTACAAGTGCAGGGTATGAATTCTAAGAAAGGAGGAATATTTTATAAAAAAGAAACAAAAAAAATTCACAAAACATGCATAAAGGACATTGTGAAACAGACACAAGGCAGCTAAACAGAGTGAATGTTACCTTTTTGGAAAACATCTCGAAGCATCTGGAAAATAGTAAGGATAAATTTTATTAAAAGGCCATTGTCAAGAGCTTGTCTTTTTCTGGCACTTTCCAATTTCAATAAGCTAGACATTTTTCTTCATTTCTGTTTAATTAGGTATTGTTAGCTTACTGTAAAACAGGGTGCAATTTGAATATAAAACACATTTCAATAAGTCCAGGTCTTTCTGAAAATTACACAGAGGTAAAAAATTTTACAGGAAACCTAAATCATAACACAGTCGTGTCAGTCACATGCTACAGTATATGATTCATTTTAACCACTTTAAAAAAATCATTGTTCATAAAAGGCCTATACAAGTCACATTATTATGTTTCTGTCTCAAAAATAATCAAAATAAACATGTGTTTCAGCAACAATTCTAAACGTGAGTTTTTCACAAAGTGATTTATCTTTGAAGCTTTTTGCTGTTGCGCACTAGCCAGCCCCACTCACTTCTGCTAAACTCCTGGGCTGACTGGTGACCAGCTCCCCAACCAACGGGACCGGAAAAGCCCTAAACCCCACAAGTCGTACTCCAAGTTATGGTTTTTGGGATAATCTGTTTATCTGTTGGTGTCGAGAGAGACTCATCTAGCCACTAACTATCTACTATCCAGGCGTCATGCCCTTCTTCAGGTAACGAAGAAGGGCATGACCCCCACTTCCGCTAAGTGGGTGTCATGGCCACTGGATCAATCAACTGAGTTGGAGCAATCAACTCAGTTTATTGCTCCATCAATCGATTGAGTTGACTGATGGAGCAATGAGTTGATCGATCAACTGAACTGATTGATCAATCAACTGATCAAGCATTCCCTCGCATGCAGTTATCAAATCAGCTGACTGATCAATCAGAAGCTGATTGATTCAAGCAGAGTGCATAGAATCAGCTTCAGCTTCTCTAACTGTGAATTCCTGTCCATCGACCAAGTCTGTTGCAACAAATGGAGATCTCTATAGGGGAGTCAAGGACGGCCGTCTAATTTGGAACCATGGACGAGGGCAGTTGGCTTCTCCCCCTTTCAGCTGTGCAGAGTCTTGGTCTCTCCTTAGTTCCGGGGCGCATTTCTCTGTAGGTCTTCTGTCTGCATCACTTTTTGACTTCCGACTTCTGCAGTTGAGACTTAGCACTTTCTTCCTCTCCAGAATGTTTTAGACTTTCTCAGCCCATGATTGTGGGGACCATTTACTAAGCGAATTCTCAACCGCACCGTTCAGCTACGCGACTTCTCAACCGCACCGTTCAGCTACGCGACTTCTCAACTGTTCCTGTTCAGCTCCCTCTGTGACTCATTTCTCCTTTTCAATCGCCATCTGGAGTTACTCCCAAATTCACTCTTGCTCAATTTCCAAGTTCCTCTTTGTTGTTCTGCATTCTTCGTTCTGTTCTGACCCTGACTGACTTGTACCTTTGACATACTTATAGCACAGTACTAGGGTTACAAAGTATTCCAACACACATTACATTCTTATAAGATTAATTAAAAAATGACTAAATAGAAATATAAGGATTAAGAAAGGTATGCCAATTCCAGTGCTCTCAATATGTTGTTTAAGGTCATTTTCCCACAAATTACTACATCAACACAGTCTTTTTTTTTTAACCTTTAACACACACCACAAAACACTTAGCGAAAGATTAACTGCAACTCTCACCTGTTTATGTCCTTTTAAAGTCAGATGTTGCTTAAATTGATGCAGCGCTTCAAATCTTTTGCAACAGATCTAAGACAAATAAAGAGGCAAATTATGTAAAAATTAGATTAATCATGCAATTATACAAAAGTGATACATAAAAACACAAATAAAACTAAACCAAAACAAACAGAATTGTATAACAATCAGGGTCAATGCAGAGGAAAGAGTAAACAAGTTGTGAACATTACAATTTGGAAAAAATTTCATGAACTATGCCGTACCCGTGCGACCAAAACGTCATGATGTGGGATTTTTTGGTGTACATATCAATGTGTGGTGTGTACATTTAAAGGGGCAGTGTTTCACTTAGAAGTAGTTCTTATTAGCTCAGCAGATGCACAGTTCCACCAGGTGTTTCCTAATCTCTCCTGACTAGTCTTAAGGAGCCGAGTGGGGGAGTGTTCTGTAACATGGAAGTTTGGAAACTGCAGCTACGAGGAGGACTTTTGTCCCTAAAGGCTGCGCTCCTCACCCCCCCCCAAGCATTTTGCACAGCTGTATGGTTGCTGAGGAAAATTCAAGGATTTCTCAAAAATGCATTAGAATCAAAGCAGAACTCGGGGTATGTTTTTCATGAAAGAACAACATGTTGTAAAGCTCAACAAAGTTGATTTCTACCCAGTGCTGGCCCTTTAAACCTCACACTTACTCGCTCAACGAATATTCTGGCTCTGTGACTGTGCTTCCAACTTGATAAAGTTAATTTAAATGAATCACAGCACCAGTTAAAGACGGGTATCTTTTCAGAGTACTTCTTGCAAATACTGCATTCGCACGAAATCCTTGCTGCACGAAGCAGCAGACATTACAAAACAAAGAAAACTTAAAAAAAGAAATATGTAAAAATTCTTTGGATGCAAAGTCCCTTTAAACATACAAATACCTGTTCATTTTAAGACATTAGACATGCACTTTACAATGAACTCGGTTGCACTATTCACACATTGATGACAGCAAGCTATGGATTGTAGCCACACATGCTTTGGGGAAGCCCACTATATTATGCCATCAGCCCTTCTGCCCACCACCAGCAGGCATGGTAGGTGAGGTGCCTTGCCAAATGGCACAAGGCCATACACGGCTGGGGTGGGGGCTCAAACTAGCAATAAAAAAAATAAATATCACATTGGAGAATATCACATCCTCCAAACCACGCATCCCTTCATAGCTACAAGCTCTGCAAGCTCAGTGAAGTTTTAATCCATCTCTTCCTTATCTTCTTCTGTCACACTCCACCCTTAATCTTTATCCAACGTATCTTTTTGCGTTAGATACATTAACATATCTTACCAGGACTGATTAATCAAAACGGATGTCACAGGACTGATTTGACTGCACAAATTGTAGTCCGCTTATATCTTCAACCACAGCTATGTGCAAACCAAGACGTCACACTTACAACAATAATAAACCCTGAAGAAGCTGTGTAGAACCAAAGAAACCTATTGTAGGGTAACCCTTGTAGGTACCCTGCAAGGATACCCTTGCAGTACCCCTGCCAGGGGTCTTCTAGTCTGCCAACTAAAGGAGCCCATCTCCTCACACTGTAATGACCCCCATTATCCAACTGGCCAATAGATTCTTGTGTATGTTTGAAAACCAGTAAGACACCTTCAACCCATTTGGCCACCAACAACTCTACCAACTATTCTCCTTCGGGTCCTCTATTTGCATCAAAGATCTCAGAAGAAAAGGTAAATGAACTCTCTCAGCATCAAAAGACCTGGAAAGCTACAGGAGCTGATGACAATGCTGCCAACTTGCAACCACACTTCATTCTGGTTTACCTTGATCACCCAGGATATACCAGAATCCAACCAAGCCAGTTTCAGCTTGGTCTTAAATTAAATACCACCAACCCAGGTATCCTCCACCAGAAGCTGGAGGATACCTGCTTCTGGTGGAGCAGGCATCCTCTAGCTTCTTACCATTGCTGGGTCACAAGCTTCCTAACTAGCCACCAGCAGAAAGCTTGTAGCTTCTTGCTATTGGAGGAACCAACCCTCAGCAAACTCTTGAGTTTCACCACTGTCACTTCTCTGATCAAGAACAACCTGAACGTAGACAGAAGGTGGTTTGACAGGTCCACTCATAAGGCCTTAAGCGCTGGTCCCATTTCTCTGGGCCACAAGGTTTGACATAAACTTTGGCCTGTGGGTGTTTTCAGGCAAGCCCTCAGGTCGGCTCCAGAGTGTCTGGTCATCTGGCTGCAGCCTATTCTGCAAACATTTCTCATATAGCACAAGTTAGAGACACAAAGAAAATGTTATAGACTTTAAAAACTAATGAGTAATACATATATGGGATGATATAAAAGTTATTATTCACAACCTAAGACCACTGTTCCACTTAGAAGCACCTGGACACTGACTTGCTCAAGTGTAGTAATGACTATGGATTTCCAGAGAACACTTTTCCTTTGCCTACCAAGAACTTCCTGTTCTTAGGAAATGCCCTTTTCGCTTGACATGAGCTGTTCTTCACAGTTGCACTGTTCGGAGGAAGGTTCAGACTGTACTTCTTGTGGCAACTAAAGGGAAAATCTGTTGTCATCTACACAGTCATTATTCCGTCTATCCTAAGCACATCCATCATTGTGCCTATGATGGATAATCATTACCATTATAGACTACAATGAAGTGTCAGATCTGCAGAGACAATCAGTACCGTCGTCCCTCCACCCAGAATTAACAGGGGTCAAGGACAGATACCATCTCTGCAGATGCCACGGGTTTGTTCAAACATCACAAGAACTAAAGAAAATCAAGAGAAAACAGAATATAGTATACAAAAAAATAAAAATATAGTCACTATTCAAGGGACGCTCTGCCAAGAGTTAAACTGATAAATTCATTAAATGGGTCTATATGAAAAAGGATTGAAAGATTAGCATTTTCCTCAGTCTGAGCCAAGGCAGATTTATTTTTGTTTCCTGAATTTACTAATCAAGTGTACAAGTAATTTCCTAGAGTGCCCCTTAGAAATAATGACCTCAAATGACAAGAATAACAGATGAGCAAATGCACAATAGCAGGCCTATTACACTTTAAAGATCAGTTTTGAAACTTCTTTTTCTGATCCACAGAAAGACAGGTGACACTGATCATGACTAACGTTACCAATTAGACAACTGATCAAGATAAATCTATTAATAAAAGATACCTTTTCCACCATAACATTTGCAATGCACATATTCTTTTACTACAGTCATTTTTGTGTGGTTTTTCACAAAGACCACAGTTCATATGGACAAGATTCAAGGATTTCCATCAATGAACACATTTGTTTTGACAAGACCAACACAAAATCAACTTTCACATCCAGGTTTTTTCAACATAATATTGTGATTTCTGTATAGCTCTACGCAACTGTCATTTACAACAACAGGTTTCGAGTTAAAGCAAATCCAAATGTTCAGTTGTGACCGAATTCCCTTTCAGGTTTGCCATTGCCGTTTAGTTCTTCAGTGGTGCTTAGTCCAAATGGTGATAGCCCAGTGTAATGTGTCGAGTTGATGTGCCCGGTTCTTCTCATTTCCTCCCTTGTACAGGTCCGTGCGTCCGTCTCATGCTTAAGTTGGTCACCACCGGTCTCCTTTCAGCCCCTCTATTCCCGGAATGCTCAACTGCGATCCATTTTCAACACGACACTACAATTCAACAACCTACATTAAAATCCAGTAATCTTTGGATTATACATACCTTAAACATAATTACTACTTTGATTATTGTATCACAGCAGGTCATTTTTTATTACTCCATCTTTAGATTACTCATTGGAGTGAGGCCAACTCCACCATACTTGACAAATGTTAGATTAGGAAATGGTATTCTAACAGCAACCAGCCACAATATTAAATCCCTGTGAGATTAAATGATCTGCAAACTAGAACAAAATTCTTTAAAACCTCAACCCTTTGGTGTTCTTGTGAACTCGAGGCTAAATTAGAGCTCTGTAGGCTGCAGACACGAAGAAAAACTATTAGCCTTCCCTTCAAAGTTCCCTTGCTTCTTCCAGGCAAATGCAGAGTAAATAAACAGGAGGGACTATTTGATCTTGTCCAACATCTCCTGTCAGTAGGACGTACCCAAAAAAATTGTCACTGTCCATGCAACTTCAATGATGCCGAGAGGAACAATAAAAAGTGGCAAAAGGGCTCAACTGGAATTTGAATAAACAGATCTTCCAAAGAGCACATCATATGGCAGAATCTGCAACCAGAGAGATTCTCTTGCGTTCTTAAATCAACATACTAGACTTGCTTTTGGAGGCATAAGTCGTACAGAAAGTAAGGCAATGCTGTGGCTGATCAGAGGGCAGTTCATCTTTATCACTGACTGGCTTAGCATATTTGTTCCATGTCGCAAACCCAGAAAATCTATGATCCATAAACGTTGTTTTATGGAGCCCTTATTTGCAAATAAGGGCATGAATGACTTTATTTACAGACAGAACTCCAACATACATTTGCTTTTCAAATACAAATGCTGATTCTGTGTGTCAACTCTAAAACCCACTAACCATTATATCAACATAAAACATAAGAGTCAAAGACACATTAATTTAGATTCTTCAAAGAGTTATTGAAGATGTTGATGGATGTTGGAAGGAAATATCTTCTGCAGTCGTCTGTACTGCAATTAATCTGAAGAAGCCTCTGACTGAAGATGTTCTGCCTTCCCAAAATAATCTTGTGAAGAAGATGGTCAGGGTTGTCCATAATTTTCTTGATCCTATGAAGAATCCTTGTTTGCATAATCCTCTCCAGAGGTTCCACAGTCATCCCCAGAACAGAAACAGCCTTCTTTATCAGGCTGTTGAGCCTTTTTAAGTCCCTGGCTCTGATGCTGCTCCCCCAGCAGATGATGGCAAAAGAGATGATGCTTTCAAGAACAAACGTATAGTAGATCTGCAGCATTTTGGTGGAAACATTGACGGATATTAGCTTCCTTAAGAAGTACAGTCTATTCTGCCCCTTCTTATAGATGGCGATGGCTTCACTGCTGTCTCCAGTCCAGTCTATTGTC